TTTCTAGCTTTTATTACTCTTGGTAGCTCGGAAGAATTTTTATTCAACTCAAGAGTCGCATAATGTTTTTTGAGTTCAGTTAGTAATATACCTTGGCCTCTAGTACCACTATCTTCTACCATATCTTTTCCCAACAATTCCTCTCATAGAGAATTGGGTTGTTAAATCGACCCATTAACCGCCTTACCATCGATAGGGAGACCTAATAACATGTACACGTCCTCTAGTGTGACGGTACATTCACCTATTGGTAGATGAAATGTGTGTCTCGGGTCTCCACCTTTCCAATATTGCAAGTATAAACTTGGAATAAATCGTGCCGTTTGTGATTTTTATAACATTTCCAAAACCCGTATATTTGAGATAGGGCATGATCAACGGGTCGGGAGAAATGTAGTTGTGTGAGCGAATTCTAAATATTTTAGTATCCTAAATTCAAAATATAAAAAGTGTAATAGTCCATAAGGTGACTAAATCAATAATAATTTTATTAAAAAAATGTATTAATATACAAGAATATTTGAGAATTTATAAAAACTTACAAACGCCGCAATGTTGTCCCTTGTGCCTCTGTGAGAATCACCCATTGTGAGAAGAGACATATTTGAAATTGTATAAGACAATGAAAGAGTTTGTATCAGAGAGTGAGATGACTGTTGATGCAAAATAAGTATATCAGGCGCTGTATTTATAGGCGAAATTGTATCAAAGAGTGAATAAATGAGGTGGTTGGTGGTTGCATGCATGCATGATACGTGCCACTCATGTGCCAAGTCAAATGGCGCCTACATGAAATTTAGAGAGCATGCGCCATTCAACTTGGCGTATGACAGGCCTAGTTGTAGCATAGGTGGCAGCGTAGGTGGCAGGCTAGATGGTAGGCTAGGGACAGGCTTTTCTGCATGTATGTAAGATGATTGGATATGTAGGGAGGCGCCATTTGACTTGACGAATGAGTATAAAATTGAAAGGTGTCACCATCTCAATTGGAGAATTAGTTGTGGCTTAATTTTGTATTGTTCAAATTCAATGCAACCTATTTAATCCTACATGTATCTAAAGGCCTCTACACTCAACCACTCAAACACTCAAACATTCAAATAATCAAACACTCAAACACTCAAACACTCAAAAACACAAACCTACAAACATTCAAACACAATGACCTCTATACCACAATACGTTATCAGTACATATTTCAACGGTGAGACGTACATTTGTCCCACCTCTGGGTTTTTGTTTATAGACATTGAGAACATCCGATTTTGTTTAAACAGGAAAGTCAATTTCTTGTATTTCAAAAAATGATTGGAGGTCAAACTTGGACGAGGTCCTATAACACAAATCTTCTATCAAAATCCAGTTTTTTTGGTGAGAACCAAATAATATATTATAAGGTAGAGGTTCAAGATGACGAGGACCTTCAGAATATGTTTTCTAGTCATGAGTATTCTGGGTACGACTCGATTGAGTTTTACGTTATGCTGCAGGAGCCTCAGCTGTCACGACCAACTTAGTCACAAGTGGTTGATCCTCTCGAAGGCGAACAAGCAAAAGTAGATGTCGTTGACGAAGAAGAGGAAGATGATGAGTTAGAGTTTGACGACATGGTCAACGATGATTCTGAAGACGATGGGATATCTGGAATACCTCGGAATGAGATCTACACACCACCTTCATACATGACAAACTTCAACATGGGCGGAGATGAACCATCATCTGATGTTTTTTTAAATTCGTATATACAGTCGGATGAAAATTTAAAAGAGAAAGACAAGTTTTGTAATAGAGAAGATTGTATCCGAGCCATAAAAAAGTTTCACATGCTAAACTCTATCGATTTTAAGGTAGATCGGATAAATCTAGAAAGATACAAGCTCAAGTGTGTTCACCCAGATTGTATGTTCAGGCTCACTGCATCATACATGTTAAGAGCTGATTGTTGGGTGATAGGTTTTATGTCCACCCACACGTGCATCAATTTTACTCAATCACAGGATCATCGAAAACTAAATTATGATCTCATATGTCAAGAAATCCTACCTCTCGTCAGCAATAATCCGTCATTAAAGGTGAAAACCATAATCTCTCACATCACTATGGTATACAACTATACTCCGTCATACCGAAAGGCGTGGTTAGCAAAGACCAAGGCGATTGAAAAGGTATATGGAAACTAGGAGGAGTCATACAAATAACTTCCGTGTTACCTGCATTCACTTCATACGTATTCTCCGGGAATTGTTTATATTATGGAAACATTACCGGCGTACGCCCCAGATGGTACTCATCTCACCGGAAATGGAATATTCAGTCGATTGTTCTGGGATTTTCAACCTTGCATCACAGGGTTTGTGTCATGCAAACCTATTATTCAAATTGATGGAATGTGGTTGTACGGGAAATACAAAGGCACACTACTGATGGCAGTTGCACAAGATGGCAACAACAACATTTTCCCAATTGCCTTTGCTCTAGTCAAGGGAGAGACTGGTGGTGCTTGGAGTTTCTTTCTCAGGAATCTCTGAACACACGTGGCTCATCAACCTGATCTCTGTTTGATCTCCGACAGACATGCATCTATTGAGAGTGCATACAATAATCCTGCAAATGGTTGACATGACCCTCCTTCTACGCATGTCTACTGCATTAGACATATCGTACAAAATTTCACGAGGGAGATCAAAGACAAAGCTCTTAGGAAAATAATTATGAACACATGGTATGCGTTAACACAACCTACGTTCAAACACTATCGCAACGAGATCAGATTATCAAATCTGGACGCAGGTAGGTGGATCGATAATATTCCGGTGGAAAATGGACAAGGTCATACGACAATGGACAACGATAGGGCCACATGACAACAAATCTTATCGAATCCATGAACGATGTATCCAAAGGCATACAAAACCTCCCAGTATCCGCTTTGGTCAAATCAACATAGTTTAGGATGGTTTCGCTGTTTGCCAAAAGAGGTGAAATGTGGATTGCGGTCTTACAATCGGGACAACTATGGAGTGAAAGCTGCATGAAGTATATTAAGACAGAAAGTGCCAAAGCCAACACCCATATGGTTATAAGGTTCGATCGATACAACCACAACTTCATTGTCAAAGAGACAATCGACCATAATGAGGGGCTGCCAATACAAGAGTATATGGTTATACTACCATCTCGTTGGTGCGATTGTGGCAAGTTTCAAGCCTTTCGTATGCCTTGCTCTCATGTCATTGTGGCATGTGCGTATACTCATCAAGACACATTACGACTTCTATCTCTCATTTACAAGTCCAAAACCTTGCTCGACGTATACAATAATGGCTTCCTATTGGTAGCGAAACCTGATTATTAGCCTGCATACGACAGGGAAATAGTATGACACAACGATCAAATGCGAAGGAATAAAAAGGATCATCCCAAAAGTAAGTGTATCACAACTGAAATAGACTCCCTTGATAAGCTAGAAAGAAAGTGTAGTTTATTTCGTCAGGTCGGACACAATCGAAAGAATTGTCCCACTCGGGCTACAAGCTCGACAACATAAAAATTGTATGCAAACCATCTGCACTTTTTATGTTCTAAACATTATTGTTTTTCATTAAGAGCATTTGTTACAACAAACCATACACAAACAACAAATAAAAATACGATAAGACGTCTAAGAAATTACAACCGTCAAAACAATTTCATCTGAGCCATGCATCATCACCATTACATCTCCGTCTGTACTGACTTCCTCCAACCAAAAATTAGGTCTTCCAGTTGCAAGTGAGGTGACTGTTCTTCTTCTCCGGATCCTTCTAATTTATTCTCCAGCCTCGATGTCTCCCTCTAGCTATCGCATCAACTCTCTCTTCAGACGCTCCATGGAGTGAATGTGCCAAAATTTCATTTTCATCGAAGATTTGGTGGCCGAGAAAATAACGTATCCATCTCTGATGAAAATCACGGGAGATGTCATGACGCAAATAACAGAGAAAAAAAATAAGAAGACAGTGCGAGAAAGTGTGAAGAATAATGGAGAAATGGGTAATTTATTTATAGAAAATACAATTGAACGTAGAAGTCAAGTGAGATGACGCCTCATCTCCTTTTTATAGTGCATGCGCCATCTCACTTGGTTAAAACAAAGTGCATGCGCCAAGTGAGATGACGCCTAGGACAAAAAGGTGATTGCGTGCCATCTCACTTGACTCCTCCATGGTGGAATTTTCTGAAACGTTATTATTTACGTAATTTTCTCCGAAACATAATTATTTGTGTATTTTTTTTAATAGTTGATTATTGCTAAAAAAAATTATAAATATAATCAAACAAAAAAAATTTTCAATTAAAAATCAAACATCGGATAATATCAATTAGTTTATTTATTTTCTTGATAAAAAAGAGGCCAAAGGCCTGATAATATAAGTTAATTTAATCCTAAACTGAAATTAATTAATCATTTGAACTCAAATACTTAGTTTGTCTTTCACTATTGCACAAAAGTTAAATTTCCACCGTCACATACCATCTCACCTTTGTCAAATCTTCTTAGATTTAGATTGCTTTGCCAATAGAAAATATAGATTGCACATTCCCTACCCATTTATTAAGTTACAATACACTCAAAAACAGCATGGATCTTTCCTACCCAATCATCTTTTTTTATTCATTTTCCCAAGTGCATCTAGAATATTTCACAATAATAATAATTAGCACTATAATACTCCATAAAAGATTTGACATTTGACATTATAATCATACAATATTTTTCTTTATTTCTAAGGAAACATTCATTGTTAAAAGTACTATTGATTACTACTTCTAATATTCTTCACTCTACTCATTATAGATTATAACATCAAAACTTTACTCTAAAATCTCATCTTTTCATATCAAAAGAGCATTTCACACACATTTCTAATCTCACACTCTAACCCTTTTCTATCTTAAGAGTTTATTCCTCATATCTTAATATTCATGCTCCATGCTTCCACTTTTGTTCCTCCTTCATCATGGCCTTAAAAATTTCTCAAATAATTCACATTCTTCTATGGCTATCTCTTATATTTTTGCTCTTTCATGAGTATTACAATCTCAAATACTCAAAGATCAACAAGAAGAATATCATACAAGCAAGTCATCATTCATTATCCTCTCTTCACAGCAGAAAAGTTCTAGCAAGAAAATTTCACTTCTCTCCTTTCTTTAAGCATCATCATCATCATCAAGAACAGAAAGATCCTTCTGACAAAGAGATTGATCCTCGTTATGGCGTCGAGAAACGCCGTGTGCCAACTGGTCCAAATCCGTTACACCATTGAATTGATTTAATTTTCATTTTCTTTTTTTTTTGGATTAATCTTCCGATTTTCGGAGAAGGCCCGGTAATGATGCTTTATAGTAGTAAATTAATTTTTTTCTTTTATTTGTTTTGTTAACTTTCTTTGTTTGCTTATTGATATGAATGATTCCAGAAACCAGAATTAACCATAATCATATAATGTAGCATTACTGCATAGATATATAATAGTATATACTATTGCATGTCACATTGAGATATTGTATAGAAAATGAAATACTAGTAGTGTACATATTTTTTTCTTGTTTTCAGGGCATTTAACTTTAAGTTGGTGATTATAATGATTTGGTTATTTCGTTAATGAAAAGATTCATTAAAGTGAACAAGAAACTATTATATTTTTCTATAATGCGTTGGTGAGTGAGTTGAAAGAAACATAACTGAGACGGCACGGTACAATTTAGAAGATTTTAGTTGGAGCATAATAATTAAATATATGATGAGTTTTGAAGACTGGTTTGAAGATTAATAAAATACTTTTTTTTTTTTTTTTTGCATTCAGGTGATCATAATATCTGGTTGTTTATAAATTGAGAATCATTTGTATATCTTATGATATACTAATAATTAAACTAACTGGTTTGATTCGATGTAGTTTGGTTTGATTGATCGATTTACAATGTTTTTTTTAATATTATATTTATCAGTGTATTATATGATGTCGTATTTTTTTAATGTATTTTATGTTGTTATTTTTTAAAGGGAAAAATATACTCACCTACCCTGAAATATGTTAAAATGACACTAACATCCCGTCTAGTTTTTAAACATGTATTGACTTCTCCGAAGTCTATTAAAGTGACACCGACACTCCCTATAGTTTTTAAACATGTATTGACTTCCCCGAAGTCTATTAAAGTGACACCGACACTCCCTATAGTTTTTAGCGACAGTAAAAAACTATAGGTATAAATGACATTTACCTAGGGTTTTTGGTCTGTCACTACAACTTTATGTTGGTATATGTATGCTTAGGGGAGGTCAGTGCATGATTTAGAATTAGAGGGGGTGTCAGTGTCTTTTTAACAAACTTCAGGAGAGGTGAGTGTAGTTTTCCCTTTTTTAAAATAATAGATTTCATGTAATTTATTTTATATTCTATTTTTTCAAACAAATTACAAGTTGCTCTTAATCCATACGAAACAATGACATGATTTCTATTGCATCATAAAATAAGTTTACTATCAAATATAAAAGTTAACACTTGACATTAAAAGGTTGGGAAGGGATTTGAAATCTTAACAAATAGAACACAATAAAACTCACATCAATCAATATGTTTCACACCTCAGGCACACATAAAAACTATTTTGTAACAAGACTAGAAGGAATTTTGTTGAAGAAGAAACAAAAAAGGTAAAAAAATGAAAATTATTAAAGAGAACTTGAATACCAAGAAGACAATCATAACATATCAAAACGACAGTAAAGAGGGCAATAGTTATGGTGGACAATGTGAGCAGCAGTTTAGTGAAAGTAAGTTTTTGTGACTACTTTCTATGTTTAGGAGTTTGGTTCTATATGTGTGTTTTGCTGAAAAGAAGTTAGTGTAAACAAAAATGGGAAATTGTTGGACCGATACAAAATTTGAGCTTAATGATTGGTGAATTAAAAGATTTAGAGCGTAATTATATCAATTGGTTCGGTTCATCAGTTTGACGGTTCATAAAAACTAAAACCGAAAACTAAATGAAACCACATTGATTTTTATAGGTTCGGTTCGGTTTTAGAACCGAAACAGAAACAATCGATTTTATTAGGAGTTGAATTAGAATGAATTATCAATTTAATTAGTTTTTTCTAATCCGCTTACATCCTTAACTATTATATATAAAATCAAAGAACATGAGACCTTTTAACGATGGTATGCATCACTATCGCTCTTTGCGAGGGTGTTATTGATTAGACCTATCGTATTGCCTTAAATGATTATTAAATAGAATGAGTTACATTAAAAATTCATTTAGTGAATCATCTATTCTAACTTTCTATTAATAGAAAAGTTTAACAACATGCAACATCCAGTGAAACACAATGCTATATGCTTTCTAACATAATGTCATGTGCTTAATGTTCCTCCTTAAGCGGGGAGATGTTTAAAACGACCTCAAGGTCAGAGATTTCAACGAGTTCTTGATACAAATCTCATCAATCTCAATAGAAAAGATCATAGCAAAATTAGAATTTTATATCAAATGAGACAAAAAATAATGCCGAAAAGAGAGAATCTAAGAGGCAAGAGAGCGAGGTGGCAGCAAATTTGAAGCGCTCAAACAACAAATGTACTAGAACACAATACCAGTTCAAGAGAAAGACCTCTTCAAGCCTACAAAAGAGAAAATTAAAGCATTTCAACCCATTGAAAACAATGAGAGGATATATCCTCCAGGACGTCTATCACACCAAAATCATTCCTAAACCCTTTGTCCTCGAGGGAGATGTAATTGGGCGTGAGTCAGATAAATGATGCAAATATCACAGGATACAAGTCACCGCATAAATGATTGTCATCACCCGAAGCAAAAAATTGAAAAGCTAATCCAAAAAGGCCTCCTACAAAGATATGTATGGGGTGACTCCTTGAATTGAGAAAGAAGAGCACCATAGAAGGAGTGACCACCAGAGAACACCCCAATCCATAATGGGCCAATGTCGTGAAGAAAGACTATGATCCTGACCAAACAAATCATGTTTGATGAGAATATGGATAATAAACAGTCTAGAAAGGGGGGGGGGGGATTCGGAATAGACCTCCCAAATAAATCTCCATTTAAAAATAGTTTGCAAAACTTTTATCAAAGTTTCTAAAACAAAAGGTAATTTTGTGTGACATAAGGAAATTTAGCATAAAAGAGACTACGCTTATCGATTAGAATCGATATGTAACAACTCAAACAGTTCAAAACTCAAATAAGATTGATACACAAGTATAACTTAAATGTACAAACTATCAATGTATTTAATAATTAAAAATTACACAACAATGTGATTTTACAATAACAATACTTAAAAGATTCTACAACCATAACTTTCATATTTAATCGACAGCAAGACAAAATTAAAGTGTAAAATCTAACAAAACCTACACTTTTACAATTAATCACTATCAAAAGAAATCCTAATAGCATACAATTTCTAGAAAGCAATAAAGAATAACCTAATCATACAATTAACTACGAAAAATTAAAAAGAGACAGAAGAGAGTAGACCGAGATTTATACTAGTTCAACGCGTTCGTCCTTGCTTTAAGCCTTATCTAGTGTCCAATGGTTTCCCATTGAAAATTTGTTGGTCTTTCAATATGATTTTAGATAAATGAGGCATTTATTTATAGGCAAGAAGTGTGCCAAAAACTAAATTTTCATTCAATGAATTTTACCATTAGCTAATCGATTATATTTCCAAAATTAATCGATTATAAGTTCCCAAAATGGAAGTTTAAGATATATGTCCTTTGCACATCATTAAGGTGCTTTCTGAATGGCTTGAGGTGTAAGTTTTAATTGATCTAATAGATTAGACCAAATTCCTAATTGATTAGATCAACCAAATGTTTCCCTCTAGCTATTTCCACAACTCCTAAGTCATCAGGTACAACTCTAAGACATTTTTAAAGATGTTTTCTCTTTGATAAAGATATTTGAAATATGTTTTAGTGTGTGTGTATGCTTATAGTTATATACTTTTACGGAAAAGCCTTTTACTTTCATAAAATCACTCACTTACTAAGTCAGAAGATTAACTCCTATCCTACAAGCCCTTTGTGAGATATTATCTTTTGTGTTGACACTTCTTGAGATCACTTAAGGCTTTAGATATTTTCCATTTTTTCTTGCCTTATTTGGATATTTTATAACACTTAGGTTTCTATTTATTTCCTTTTTTCAGATGATCAAGTTCATTAAACCTTAATATTTAGATTTGTATCTTTATCTGATTAATTGTTTTGCTTGACTCATCATTAGTTGTCACATAGTTATCTTTTAGTTGTTATCATGGTTGTTCTTTAGGTGTCATTATTAAAAGCCGATGTCATGATTAAAGGTCTATTACCTGCAAAACAAGGTTTCACAAAGACAACAACCAAAGACCCCAAATACCATCCATCCACGCTGGATTCGTTTCATTATTTATTTGTAACAAATTTAATTCATTATTAATATGAAAACATGTATATTCAATTCCTCTACTGTATGCTTGTTTATCCCTCTTTATGATAGAATGTTTGAGACAGGGGAATCAGAACAAAGTTCTCGAGTGTGTACCCGATAAGGACTTCATGCGTCTCTACAATTCTGATACAGATTAAACACATTCCATTCCTAATTGCATATTAGATACATACTTAATGCGTCTCTGCAATTGTGATATGACTTAAATCCACTGCTTGCACGAATGTGTATCCAATACAAACTCAATGCAATTATGCTATTCAGATACAACTTAAACACATTTCATGCGCTATTGTGTTTTCAATACAGAATTAACGCACTTTTGTGATTCAAGTACATATCATATGCACACCTCACATCTGAGGCTTATTAACCACACTTATGTGTATCTAGCGCACCCCTTGAATCTAGCCTATTAGAGGATGCAGGTGGTGGACTACAAAGACGTCCACCTTATTACAAGCCAAGCGTAGGGGGTAGGCACGAGGATCCTACCCTTTTCCATAGAACAATTTTCTATGAAGAGGAGAGCATCATAAAGTACGACTAATGATGCTGACTTTGCCGATCCCAGGCGTCGTCTCGATGTGCACAAGAAATTCTCCAAACGCGATATGCAAACCAGTACATTATTGCAGCAAACACTATATACATCTGTGATACGGTGGCAGAATCGACTGTTATACTGGTTTGCATTTTTTATTCGCAAATGTGCGATAAGAAAGAGTCGCCACCGAATTTTCTTTTATCCAATAAAGGAATGGGTGAAAAGAACAAAAAAAGACCTTTT